TATCAGCTACCTAAAAGAGGCTGTTGTAGTTAGGGAAACCAATTTCCACCTGCAGTTTACAATTGTTTCCATACCTTATAACTTAGGTTTCTTTTTTCCTTACCTGAGGCATCTATTCAAATAGTTGAATAAAAGCTGGGCAGCTTCTTCCCTAGCATATCTAGTTAAAGATTCTACCAGGTGAAAAATTCTATTTATTCTCAGGCTGAAACAGCATTTTTCACCCCTTACCTCCTAATTTTTCTGTTTCTTCTTTGAATGCCTAAAGGTTTAGTTAGAGTCTTAACCTAGAATGTAATTTGTTGAATGAATTCTTTCATATTTTACCCTACCTATAATATAAGCTGCTAAATGAAATAAATGTATTTAAAGCCGTTATTAATATCTGCAATAGGTCTCTGCAATTTCTAGTTCAGGATCATTTTATATTTGTATCTAGAGTCATATCACATGGCTCGATTTTCTAAAGCACATCTAGTGAAACCATTTATTTGTATAGAAGTCTTGTTCTATAAAAGATGAAATTATTCTTTCACTGACTGTCTCCTGTGGTTGCTTTATAGATATAGAATTGAAGTGACAGTGGTTCTTTGCTGTGCTCATGAATGAAACCAGCCGCTTAATGCTAACCCTGTTGCTTCAATTGCATGCTGCATTATGGAAGGGTTGAAGTATATGCATTTTTATTGGAAAATAAGAACAGGATAAAATTTTAGCAGCAAAATAAATTGTTAGCAGGAGCTTCTGGGTAGTCAGAAAAGGATATTTTCAAGTATTTTTAATCATCAATGGTATATTCAATCATTTAGATTTTTATAGCAGTACCACTCATCTACATCATGGATATTCCAGATAAGACTGCAGCTAACCTTTCAGAGGCATGCTAAGGGATGTTCTGCAAGTATTCAAGGTCCATGGTGTTGACCTTCATTTATTTTAAATTAATTAAATATGGCTGATTCACTTATTCTGTCTAATACGCTAATATGAACCTTGTATGATCTTAAAAAAGTTGAGCAGGAATTAAAACCCTTCCTAATTTTGTTTATCTCTTGTGATATTGTAAATTGATTCACCATACTTGTTGGCCAAGAGATGGCACTATACAAACTATTTTAACTTTTTCATTTTGACTTTTCAATCACCAGAAAAGCAATATGAACTTCGACAATCCTGTGTTTCATGCACTAAGGTTAGAGAAGAATGCTAGGTGAGACACCTCTATTCTATAGGTGGTGGCAACAGAAACTACCAAGGCACTACCCTAAGCCAGAAGGTAGGGCTAGAGCACGAATCTTCAGGGTGCTTCTGGGAGAAGAGTCTTGAAATCTCTAGCCTTTCACTATGCCTATCTCAGCAAAATCACTATAAATGAAGAGCCATGTTAGTCTCTTGTAATAAACTCTTGTAAGCAGTCAGTCCTAGAGGAGATCAACCCTGACTGCTCTTTAGAAGGCCAGATCCTGAAGATGAAACTCAAATATTTTGACCACCTAATGAAAAGGAAGAATTCACTGGAGAAGAACCTAATGCTGGGAAAGATTGAGGGCAAAAGAAGAAAGGGATGACAGAGAATGAGGTGGCTGGATGGAGTCACTGAAGCAGTAAGTGTGAGCTTAAATGGACTCCAGAGGATGGTAGAGGACAGGAAAGCCTGGAGGAACTCTGTCCATCAGGTCGCAATGGGTCAGACACGACTTCACAACTAACAACAAAAATAAGAACAACAAATGCTATAACTGATTAATATTACAGAGAAGCTCAGATATGGAGAAATATTACAATATTTAATTTTTCTTGGCAATCTCACCAGTTATATTTTAGAGGGGTTTTTTTTCTGAATAAGGTAATCCATTTTGGGAAAACCTACTGGGACTACCAGGGAGAAAAGGCTATCTCAGGTATATGAAGTAGGAGGTAAATTGTAGTGAAGTGTTTAGTTTTGAGCTAGGACTGAGAACACTCAGGGTCAAGTCCATTCTTAATCACGGATACTCACTGGTTGACATTTGTATCAGGTCACTTTCTCTCATTCCAATCTATTTTAACGGTTGTTGTGGGAATAAAATGTAAGTGATCCTTGCAGAAGCCAACTTAAACTCCCAGAAGAAAGGCAATATATAAATCTAACAAACAAATCAATAACCTTGTTGCTAATGGTGTCTGGTAAAGCACCCTAATTTGCCCCGGGCCTTTCAAGATATAGACAAGGTGGGAAATCTGCATTGATCTCTGTGCTTGATGTCTTTTGACTATTACACAAGGCCTTCTCTAGCAACAGAGAAATTAGTGTGCCTAAATCAACCATGTACATAGAGAAATTAGAAATACTGCCTAAAGCGTTAAAGAAGAATGTATGTACAGTATGTGTGGTAGAGTGTCTTCTTCCTCATTGATAAGAATACAAACATCAGGTATTATTGTATGTTTCATAACTGAAACTTGCCTTGCCACTCATACATTCTAAAAAGATAATTTCTTTTAGTCTGGTATTAAGGATGAAAAAAATGTTTGGCATCCTTGGCATAAGCTATCATTTTCTCTTCATTTGATGGGACATAGTTTACTTGAGGTTTTTTGCTTCTGCCTAAGGAAACAGCAGCTATATTTCTTCTTAACCCCACCCCTCCTCCAAGTTATATGAATGGACAAAGTGTTCCTGAAAAGCTTTCTTGTTCTGCTACCTTTCTAGTGGCCTAACAATAATATTGCTTTAAAATATAATTGTGCATCAGAGAGATACAGTGGAAGGAAGCAAACTTTTCTACCTGTTTCCCAGTCACATGGAGTTGATGCTGTATTCATAATCTCCTCCACCCAATTATTTGGTTGGGGAGACGATGTTGCGGGGTACAGGAAATATAGAGAAGGGGACAGCAGATGTAGCTACATCATCTATAGTATACAGCTTCTGTGAAAAATTTGTAGAGTCAATTGCATTGTCAGAAATAATTAATTAAGATTCTTGATACTGTTTGTGGCTACGGGATTTAGATGAAAGCAAAAAATATCGGAAACGGGGAGGGAGGGAGGGAAAGAAAGAAAAGAAAGAAAAAAGGAAGAAAGAATCTCTTTGTTGCTATTTAGTGCCCATCTAAATTTTACAGCCCAACTATGGTAACTCCATTGTCCTCAGATAGACTGTAAATAAGCAGATGAAAGAATCACTTTGTAGGATATGTCCCAGTAGTGGTTTTCACTTACCTTTGCTACTGGTTTGGAAATGTGAGCTTGCGCGCGGCGCTTCTGCACATGTGCAGAACCTTCTGTGCATGCACAGAGTGTCCATGATGACATCCAGGCAGGTGGGCGGAGCCTCCCGCCGCTACTTGTTTGCTCAAACCAGGGCGAACTGGTAGAAACCCACCACTGATATGTCCATTTTAGACCCTAGTTCCCTTTGTTGGTTGATCATGCACCATGTAGATCTGGCTTTCTAGTCTTTCAATTACAGTACATTTCCTACATGTCTTCTCAAAATTAAAAAAGGCACATTAAATCAAAACCTATGTAATTAATCCTGTGCCCTTTGAAGGCAGCATAGTTAGATCACGGCCAAACTTGACTCATCCCTGTTATATGCAAAGTTTAACATGTCTGAATCTGTACGATTAACATAACTGACATAGGTACTTCAGCATGAACTTTATTGTTCTATTGCTGACCTTTATGTGCTTTCATTCTGTACAAGATTATTTCCAGGTGAACATATTGCGATCAGATTGTTTATGTTTTGGCAATTCCATTTGCAAATTTTAAAAGGAACACTACTTTCTTTGTAATTCCTTACATATAATATAATTGAAGCCTGAGAACCCATTTAATGCAATAAACTGTTGAGATAGTATAAGAGTTCACCTATTTTCCTTCCATTTGGACCTCTATAGTAAGCAGCACTAAAGCTACACATGGAATTAATATGAGCTCCGGGTGTATATTTCCTCCTTTTTGGAATGCACAATAATTAACTTCACTGTGTGGAAAATGCAGATTAAAACCTCTTAACTTTTGTGCTCTTGGGATGATAATTGATATGAAAATTGGTTTGCCATCCCTAAGCTCCTTTGTTTAAATTATGGTACTGGCAGAGAAGATGGGTTTTTTTTTTTTTAGAATTTTATCTGCTGTAAACCTCACATGATCGTCATTCATGGATTATTATTTTCTGCTGACAAGCAGAGCAAGTTAAAAATCCCTGCTAAAGCAGACAAAGCTAAGCTTTGTCAAAGAACTTTCTCCTTTGGTTTTAGTAAGGTTTTTTTTAACTGGTTGCCTCTCTTGATAGTGACTAATAGTGTTTCAGAGACACTATGTACAATATAGAACAATACATTAATATACACTAGTAGGGGTGCATTGTCTTTAGTGTATCCATGATACTTCAATACCTGAAGTATCATCATTGTCTTTCTTTAAGTCTCTCATAGCTACTCTACTCTCATAGCTTAATCTACTGACATAGATTATGTCAGTGTATTCTGCCAATTCTTCAGTCCCATGACTACTCATTTTTTCCTCGAGCACTCCTATTCATCTAAAACTCTTCTTAAAACCCTGCTTCTTCCATGCCAACATTGGAAAACATTGGAAAGATAAAATATATTATTATCCCTTTTCTCAACTTCATCCCATTTTACCACAATCTTTTCTGTTTCCTTTACTTCATCTTTGTTTTCTTCTTTTACCTCCCAAAATGTAGTTTATAAGCTCTTTTAATATGGATATTGTATTTATTGACCCCTTCCTTATAATGTAAGTATATAATACAAATATATAAAATCCAACTGTCGGTTTTGTTATTAATGTTGCATGTAAATTATTTTTAGAATTTTCTTGGGTTGAAACATTGAAAACCTGAGTTCCAGATTCAGTTTTAATAGAACATTCTGGTATTCAATGTTACTTAACATCTGTGATATTAGTTTCCCTCTCTTTTTTAACCAGATGCCTTTTGTTTGTTTGTTTGTTTGCTTGCTTACTTGCTTTTATTTCTGTCAAAGCAGGATGCTGATATGTTAGCAGGTGATGAGCAAGCTTGGAAAGAAGCCAAAGAAGTTATAAATAAAGTAGGAGCACCAAAGTCACGTGAAGGTATCCTTGATCCATAGTACACACATTTCCATTCAGATCAGGACATTATAACAATCAACTTGTTTTCTTGTCTTTGTTAAATTCATACTCTTCCTGCCTATAATATGTATTTTGTATTTTTCAAATAATACCATATTTAAAGGAAAAGAAGCAGAAGGTAAATCAAATCAAAATGTGGTCTGGGTTTCCTCAGCCTTTGTATCTTTAAGTTTCGGACCAATAGCAACAGCACTTAGGCTTATATATACACTTCGTTGTGCTTTACAGCATTCTCCAAGAGGTTTACAGAATCAGCATATTGCCTCCAACAATCTGGGTCCCCATTTTACCAATCTCAGAAGGATGGAAGGCTGAGTCAAGCTGGAGCCAGTCAGGATCGAACTCCTTGCTGTGGACAGAGTTAGTCTCCATTCTAACCACTGTGCTACCACGGTTCTTAGCAGCAGAAACTTTGCTTTGGCCTTGCAGAACAAGATGACAGACACTTTAAATATTTAAATATTAATATAGTTTGAAGAGCCAAAAGAACACACACGCACACACACACACATACACACACCTATATATTTAATAAAGTTAAACTTTTGGTCATCTAAATTGCAATCCAGTACTAACTTATTGAGATTGCACTACTAAGTATTAAACCACATTTCATTCCATTTTCAGTATAAAATCATTCCATTGATTCAGTATAAATCATGTTTAGACATCTACACTATTTTGCTGTCTTTAATAACTCTGAGATTTTTTTTTAGTTTTTCATTACTTCTCCCCAGTCCCATCAAATGTTGTTCTCTGTTTTTCTTTAGACCAGTTTCTCTCAAAAATTGTATGTTTTAGGATTAAATTATGTCTGCAGAACTACTTTTTTCCTATTATTTCTGCTTGTCCCACAAGATCTGTCAGCGTGGGCATGCTCTGAACCCTTACATTAAACCATGCCATCTAGTGGGAACCTCGAAAGCATGCTGTCTCTGTTGCCGCTCCTATCCTATGGAATAGCTACCATTCCTACCCCTGAGATTCAGATGTCAGCAATCAGCTGACCATATATAAAGTACTAAAGAACTGGCTTTCCCCATTTAGCATTAATCCAAGTTATGGAGCAGGTCCCTCTTGATGTGATGATTACATGTTTTGGGAATACTCTATTCGCAATGTATTGTGCGACCCAGAGTCACATGTCTATTGGGCACTCATAATCAATTGATAAATTCAAATTGTTCCTTGGCTGGTATTAACTATGTTAAATTGGGAATATCAAAGTCAGCTAAGTATCTTATGAATGTCGATTTAATCATAGCAAAAACTCATAGGGAGTTCATATTAAAATGAAGATCTTTTGTCTTCTATGCTACATCCCAAAGAAGATTGTCAGATACGTTTAATAATGCTGGGCACCGTATAGAGTCCCTTTTTCCTTCCCCCATTCCCCTCCCATCCCCGATAGTGTAATTTTCATCTGGGAAGAATTCCTTTTGCCAAAATTGTTACATTGAAAAAATATTTCTTTTAATTTACAAGATGAGTTTTAAACTAGAAAAAGGTTACGGGAAATATGTTGTTTATTTTAAGAAAATAATGCTTAAAAGAAAACTGACTATAGCAAAGTTAGTTGTGGTTTCATATGATCACCATTCATGTAGTTTGCTTTCATGTTTTGTTGGTTTAAAAAAATGAAGCTTTCTATGGAAGAGGATTTTGTAGAATAGAAAACTGCAGTGTTTTAACTTAATGTTTTGCCTTTTGATTGATGCTTCTGTCATGGGTTAATCCTTAACACAAATAAATGTCAGAGTGGGAGCAAGTTCTGTTGTCCTGCCAGACGTTACTGAAGAGTAACACCTCTCGTCTCCCAGACACCAACATCTATCAGCTAAAATTACTTGACCTTGCCATGGATGCCTGCATAAACCTGGGCCTTTGGGAAGAAGCTCTGCATTATGGTAACCGAACTTTGGAGCCCTACAGGTGAGAGCTAGCGTTACTGTGATTTATTGCAAGGGCCTGTTTCCACCCAGGATGGTGAGATGCAGTGTATATTTTCTGTGTTGGGCTGACACAAGAAGGTGATAGTTTTTCCCATAGAAGCTGCAAGAAACTACTTTGCAGATATAATAAGGCAATTTGTACAGATACCTTTTTCATTCTGAAAACAGAGAATAAATTATTTTACAGGCGTAGGGCAAAAGAAACTGTTTTATATTTATTGACAATTATGTTATACAGAGTAAGAAAACCAATTTCTTTTCACCACCACCCCCAGGCCCCCCAAGTTCCTTGATCATCACAGCATCCTAGGTTTTTTGCTCTGTAGGGTTTTTTTTCCTTATCCATTCAGCTCTTCAGCTACTTGTATCGATTTATATGCAAATGTACACCAATCTTAAGAAATTGCCATTTTCTCTGGCTCTTTACATACACATAGGGTAGGAATTAGCACTCTGATAAAGAGAGGAAACAATGACGTTATTTGCAAGTAGTTTTCACTTACTCATCATTCTTTGATGTAAGATTAGCTGATCAATTTTTTTAAAAAAAATATATATTTATTTTTATATGCCGCCCTTCTCCAGAGACTCAGGGTGGCTTACAATGCGTTAAGCAATAGCCTTCATACTTTTGTATATTTTATACAAACTCAGCTTATTGCCCCCACAATCCAGGTCCTCATTTTACCCACCTTAGAAAGGATGGAAGGCTGAGTCGACCTTGACCTTAAGTCAAGGTCCTTGACTTAATGTCCTTGACCTTGAGGTCCTCTTTCTCATTGGCACATCCAACTTTCCAACAGGACTATTTTCTGGACAAAAAATGATTGAACAATAGACTCGCCATTTCAACTTTTCCTGAGGCTAAAATCCACCATACTTGAAATGGGAAGACTGGTTATTCTTTTTATGACATACATTTCCTTGGAAAATTCTGGAATGTTTTGCATTAGGTTCCTAATTTTACTTTTCAAAACTTCCCAGGTACCTGTTAAGGGAATAGCATCGTGTCTTCAACCACTCTTTTTCTTCGTCCATGTTTTTTAACCTGTCACTAATTAATTTTGATTCTCAGAGTTTGAACAAAAAAGAGCTTCTTCCTTTGAAACAGAGAGTAGTAATAGATGCTATAGCTGCAAGGGCGAAAGAGCAGGGTGATCAAAGAAAATCTCAAACTTTGTATTCTTTCTCTCCAAGTTTCTTTGGGTCACAGAAATACAGTTTTTTAAAAAGAAAATAATGATGGGCAGCCTCAGTAATAGTATCTTCAAATACTAGTGGCATTATATCTCTTCTTATCTAGTTACACAATGAAAACAGGCACTTCTTACCATTCAGTGGAACTTGGTTGTGATAAAGGAGCATTTCACAGAGTGAATTTTAATTGCTATTCTGTTTCCACTTATCTTAGTCACGTGCTTTCATTTTTTATTACAGACCCATATTTTATTGAATATTCAAGTTCTAGAAAATTGCTTTAAGTGTCTGAATGTACTGTATTATTTGGATCCTTTTAAATTTAATTTCAGGTACTTATTACTTATGAAGGACAATGATATAAAAATCTCAATCCTCTAGAGTCTAGACCAGGTGTATCAAACTGGCGGCTTGTGGGCCAGATGTGTCACACACAGACCACACCCACCCCAGCTCCACGAATGGGAAAAACATTGTGAAACATCACGTGACAGCAACATGATGCAGTGAGTCTGACACCTCTGGTCTAGACAGATGAAGATTGCCCTGTTTAAGATACTAATTTAACCAAACAATGGGTCAATGCCAAAATTGCCTCTTAGGCACTTAATAATTAAAAATAAAACATAGTCTGATTTGTCAACAAAACTGCAGTATGCAATTAAACAAATTGTTAGTAATTTTCAAATTTCAAAATATTGGCCTTCATAATCATTTTATTGAAAGATACTTTATTATTTAAACATCCATAAAAAGTATGCCTCATATTTTCATTGTTTTCATTGTTGTTTTAAGTAAACCATGCTTTTCTACAAAATTGGTGAAAATAATGTGATAGTCCTGCTAGGCAAAATCCCCTCAAGTTTAACGTTCTGTTTCTGTGGCCAATAATTAGGATCCAGTGGAGGACCCAAAGCAGCAGATGAATGTTCCCAATTGGAAAAGCATTGTCTCTAGAGTCTAGATAGCCTGACAAGAGTTATCGATAGGCTTTTTCTCCACAATTTTCTCTAATCTCTCTCATCAAAAATGACCTTTCTATTTTAATTACTTGCTATACTTTTTCAGTTATGCTTCTATAACTTTCAAAAATTGTTCAGAAATACCATATAGGTACAAAAGAGTTGCAGCAGAAAGCAATTATGAGTTTATCAAATCATTTCTCTGCTTTTTTTCTTGTGTGTCATACTTATTATAGCCAAGTTGTTGCCCTTGGTCCTGTTGTTGTTCCCCCACAGTAGAGATACATACAACTGTATCTTTTTCATTGAAGGCTGCTGGCTTGCAAAAGCTCTCGATCTCTCTTCTACCTTGAACTGGGCGTCGTAGTCTTTCCATGTGCAAAAGCATTTTCTGAGGAGAGACATTTTCAGTTTGAGGTCTTGTTATTTGAAGGTGTGTTTTTTTTTTACCTTCAAGGCTTCACTACAAGCTTTGACGCTCTTGACAAAAAGTCTTCTGTTTCTCATTACAAGAAGTTGTGCCTGAAGCAGCAGGATACCAAATCCTAGGGAATCTGTTGGGCTGCATTGAATTTCTCCAGTTGAATCAATCTACTGCTTGACTGCTTCCACAGTTCCATTACAGCTATCTATTTTCCTTTCTCAGTTCTGAGGGAAAAGAAATATTCATATTGTTACCTGCGGGAACAGGGGAATAACCTGAAAAACAAGCCATCCATACAAATCGGAGGTGGTAGGTCTTCCTTTAAAGGGGTTTAAAGTATTGGACTAAAATCATTTTAACTTCAGGGATTGTATTTACTGTGAGTATTTCCATTAAGTGATCAGTGGGGTGCATTTCCACTATAGTGTGCTAAGTGCAGTTTTTGAACTTATGTTTTCATTGCAGACATTGCTGGGCTTTCAGTGTTTATTTAAAGGCCATACTAAACTATCACTCAGGTAAATGTAATGATGGACTTTGTGGTGTAGATTTACACTACAATGCACTGGCAAATTGATTACCGATATAACTTGGTCCAGAAGAGTTCTTTGTAGTAGTTCAAAACCTAGAATTCCACTTGCATGAAGCATACTAAAAGGAAGCCCTGTAGAATTTAGAAATCCAGGGGAAAAAGTTAATTGCATTGATTTTTACCACAATGATAGTGGCTGATCATGAGTATTTGGAAATTTTGACATTTTCCCCTTATAAAGCTGTTTATTATGAGATCCTTTTATATTTTGGCTGTTATCCACAAACTAACATTGTCAACCCAAGCCTGTAGAATATCTCTTTTAATATAGAGGGAGAAAAAAATAATAATGTTGTGCTCTCAGATATTTTGCCACCATATTGGAATTATTGAGAACTCATTTATATTCATAGGAAGATAAAAAAGAACAGGTTTTACACAATGAACCTGATTGGATTCTGATCATGCAAAATCGTCCATACTGGGAGTGATAGCAAGAAAGTCCACGGCACTTATCTTCTTCTTTTGAGGCTTGAAACACCACTATTTGAGTAAATTATATACACAACAGAATACATTTGGAGACTCTATAAAAAACCAGTTTTTATTCAGGAAGTTGTGCATACAAAATGATATTAGGATTAGTTATATTGAATGTATATATTTTAGGTTAGCAATCCAGTTTTGAAGGGCAGCATAAGATGAAACATGTGGGGCTGGACTTACGTGCTTGCCTCTCACATCTGCCACATGAACCTGGAAATATCTATGTGTGGTTTAAGGTTTTTCCACAAATTCTGTGCATATTCCAAACTCAACAAAAATTCTAATGCAGTAAATGGGTATTTCTAGTTCCTGTTAATTGAAATTGTTGGAAAGGAATTATTTGTGAATATTATTTGTGAATATTAAAATGCCAAATATGATAGAAAAGGTAAATCCTGTGCTTGAAATGATGTATTAATTAAAACTGTTTTTCAACAGAGCTGCACGGGTTACCAATAGGTTTCCAGGTGCAACTCAATATGCTGGTGGTTACCTATTAAGTCCTAGTTGGCACAGAGGCTGGATATTTGTGCGATGCAATCAATAAACAGTTCAAAGCTAAAAGAGAAGCAAAAGGCTCGGGAAAATATAAAACAGACAAATTTAATTTTGTTTAAAATAATTTTCTTTATTTTATTATTTTTGTTCATTATAAATAAAATTTACAAAAAGAATCAAACCAATGCAAGCCTTTATAACTCTGATTTCTCTTTAGGTCATATAAATCTTTCAACTTCCTAAAAAGAATGGGAAACCCTTATTCTTAAATAATTACCATATTTGAATCTGTATATTTGTCACGATAACCATATAGTTTGTCCTTGACTTACGGCCACAATTTAGCCCATAATTTCCATTGCTAAGCTAGGCATGCCCCATTTTATGACTTTTTGCCATGGTTGTTAAGCGAATCACTACAGTTATTAAGTGAATCATGTGGTTGTTAAATGAATCTGGCTTCCCCATTGACTTTGCTTGTCAGAAGCTGCCTGGGAAGGTTGCGAATGACAATCCCAGCACTCTGGGATGCTGCAACCCTCATAAATACATGACAGTTGCCAAGCACCTGAAGTTTGATCATGTGACTGTGGGGATGCTGCAATGGTCATAAGTGTGAGAACTGGTCATAAGACACTTTTTCAGTGCCATTGTAACTTAGAATGGTCATTAAACAAATGGTTATAAGTTGAGGACTACCTATATCTCCTTGTGGAGAAGTAGACCTTAGTATGATTTGTGATGTTAATTTAAACAAATGTCAGATATTGTGACAGGGAATTGAGGAGCTTTTGTGGATAGTGGAGTAAAACATTCAGTAT